CAAGGTCATCCAGCAGCTGCAGATGGAGGAGTGGGGGATCCAACCCAGTTCTCTCAGATTAGAGTCCGCGCACTTAACCACAACACCAAACTGGCTCAAACAGTGTGACTTATTCCTTGCCGGTTACTCCACGGAACATTTATTTTATTTATTTTTCAAATGCATATTCCGCCCTTCTTGCAAACAGGCTCAGGGCGGTTCACAGCAAATACGTAGGCCATTCGCCATCACAGAAGACACCTGACAGAACTATGGCTTGCCCAAGGTCATCCAGCAGTTGCAAGTGGAGGAGTGGGGAATCAAACCCGGTTCTCCCAGATTAGAGTCCGCGCACTTAACCACTACACCAAACAGGAGGCCTGTTCCTCCTGCTGTCTGGGGAATGATCTTGTCTTGTCTCCACATGGGAGACTTTGGATAACAAGAGGCCCGGGGGAGTCTCAGGGTGCAGAAGGAGCGTCCAGGTAGGGCCCACTCCCCACTCACAGGAAGTGGGCTTCCTTGAGAAAGAACTGATTTGACCTCTGCCCCCCCTTCGCTAGAAGTCTGAGAAGACAAGGAAAATGCACACAGCCAGTCAAATGTCCAATGGCCAATCAGAAGCCTTGCTGGGTAAAAGCCACACCTGGCCCTGTCCACTTTCTCCTCCCTAAACCTAACCATGTTGGGGACTCCTGTACAATACATCCTAAAATGTCCTGCAGTGTCATGGCACTACGGTAGGAAAGGGCATGAACCGGCTCATGAACCTCTGTTAGTGACAGATTTTGGCCAGTTCGTGGTTCGTAAAGTGAAGTTTGCAAACTGCAGCCAGACCACAAACCTCCACGTAATTTTAAGGCAGTTTGTGGAGGTTTGTGAAGAGCAAAAAAGCAGGGGTTTAAATCCCTGCTTTCTCCTCCCCACAAAAGCTGCCAAAACAGCTGAGTGGGGGGAGCAGGCTGCTCCCACGGCTCAGCTGTTTCAGGCTCCAAACAGCTGAGCCTGCCCCTGTGGCTCAGCTTTTTTAACGGTCTTTCTTGGGTTGTGCTCTGAGCCATTTAAGCCCCTGTGTCTTCTGCTCCTCGTGAAAAGCAGCAGGGAGCAGAAAGCAGGGGTCGCTCACAAACCCATACGAACTGGTTCCGTTTGTGTTACTAGCTCCCAGTTAGTACAGGTTTGTGGTTCAGTTCGTGGTTCAACCACGAACTGAACTGAATCACAGAAATGTGGTTCGTGCCCATCCCTAACTGAAGGCTTGATTCCTGTTGTTCTATTGGCGTGTGCTACTAATCCCAAACACTAATTTAAGTGGCACCTTACAGATTTGTTAGATCAATTTATTAGGAAAGGCGGACGTTTATTGTGTTTGTCTTCAACTTGCCACTGGACTCCTGTTTTATTTTGCTATGACAGACTGACATGCATATGGCTCACTCAGGAACCCATTCCAGTGGCAGCCAGTTCCACAGGCCAAATGTGTGCTGTTGTCCGTGAGGGGCCATTCTTTTTATAGCAGGAACTCCTTTGCGTATTAGGCGATACACCCCTAATGTAGCCAATCCCCCAAGAGCTTACAGAGCTCTTCTTACAGGGGCTACTGTAAGCTCTTGGAGGATTGGCTACATTAGGGGTGTGTTGACTAATATGCAAAGGAGTTCCTGCTACAACAAGAGCCCTGGCCCATCGTAGTTGCCTCCTAACTGGATCCTCTGGATCCATTCTGCTAGCAGAACTGCTTTCCCTGTCCCACCCCATTTTGCTTTAAGCCAGCCCAGTGTTAAATTTGAGGCTCCTCTGAGTGTGAAGGGGACGCAGCTGTTCTGGGTTTGGGCTGATTCATTCACAAGTTGCTGTCATTAAGCAATTTGGGTCAGGGCCCTCAGAAGATGAAAAAAGCCTGTTTGACAGCTAAGTCCAGGTTCTGGGTGGGGTTTTGGCTGGGGGAGCGGGCAGGGAAGACTTAGCAGCTGAACAAATGGGCGGGGAAGGAGAAAATCAGACCCAGGAGCCAAGGCCTTGGCCGGGCTCCGCGGAGTAAATCCCTCGCTTGCACTGGAAGCTCGAGGGGGAAACGCCCAGTTTGCAGACTCGCCCGTACAGCTCGGAGCGACTTCATCCACAGGTGGCCGTGCAGGCGGAAGCTGGCTTCTTCTCCGGCGGCCAGCGTCATGCTGCACATGATCAGGATCACGTCGGAATTGCTGTGGTTCTGGAAGGCAAAGAGGAGGGTGTGGTGGGTGGGGCGGATTAGGTCAGTCGGATTCCCCCTCCCATGTGGAGAGGAGCCCCCTCAGGGGTCATTTTGTAGAAGAAGAGCTGCAGGAGCTCATTTGCAAAATCTATTTGCATATGCCACACCCCCTGACAAAGGGCAGGCATGCGAGGCTGGAGAAGATTGGGCAGGGAACCCAGGCATGTTTAGGATGCCTTTCTTTGCCTTCCCCATCTGGGGAAGGGAAAGAAAGGCATTTCAATCTCCTCAGGCAGCAGGGGGGCCCCACCCATGAGCTCCTTACTGTCGGAGCGCTGTTCCGGTGCATTCCGGCAGGAAATGAACCCTGAGCCCCCTAAAGACCAGCTGATTGAACGATCCAGGCCAAGGTTGTCAACTTTCCAATGAGGCCTGGTCATAGTCTTGCCAACCTCCAGGTGGGGGGCTGGAGATCCCCTGGAATTATGGCTGATCTCCTGAGTACATACATTGCTGGGTTGTATATTTATTTATTTAAAAACATGCATTCCACTGGAGAAAATGACCACATTGGAACATAAGAACATAAGAGACGCCAATGTTGGATCAGGCCAAAGGCCCATCCAGTCCAACACTCTGTATCACACAGTGGCCAGAAATACCAGGTGCCATCGGGAGGTCCACCAGTGGAGCCAGGACATTAGAAGCCCCCTCCCACTGTTGACCCCCCCCCAAGCACCAAGATGACAGATCATCACTTGCCCCAGAGTTCCTATCTATACCTTGTGGCTAATAGCCACTGATGGACCGCTGCTCCATATGCTTATCTAATTCCCTAATTGGAAGGTGGACTATATAGCATTATAACCTACTGAGGTCCGTCCCCTCCCTAACCTCCCCCCTCTCTCAGGCTCCACCTTCAGAAATCCGGGCATTTCCGAACCCAGAGCCGGTAACCCTAGGCCTGGCGATCTCCTGGGATCGCAACCAGTGTTCCATCCAAGCTGAGTTAGTGTGAGCTAGCTCACAGTTCTTTAGCCTCCGGCTCACGCATCTTTGTCTTAGCTTGGGAAGGAGGGCTCCAGAACAAACTGATTGATGCAGCAGCCAAATCACCTGCTTGATGTCGGGCTCGCTGCCATGAGTTACGGAGGCTGGTGGAGGGGGATGCGCTCCTCGGAATGTACTTTCGCCTTCTCGCTGTCTGTGTGCTGTGCTGTTATCTGTATACAGTTTATGTGCCTGACCTTGGTAACACCATCCCAGCAAGTTGTTTACTTTTCCGGTGGGCTCGCTGGCCACCTCGATTGGCTCCCTGCCACCCCCTAACCTTCCCTCGAACCCTGTATGCCAGCAGCTCACAAAGTGGAATTTTTGTTCACAAGACTCCACAGCTTAGCGGGAGTACTGATTACAGCGGATATCCAGACAATTGAGCTCGGTTCCCCTAGAGAAAATGGCTGCTCTGGAGGGTGGAGCCTGTGGCATCATATCGTCACCGAGTCCCCTCCCTCCCGCAAACCCCACCCTCCCTAGGCTCCACCCCCAAATCTCTAGGAATTTCCCAACCTGCAGTTGTGTGGGTTGCATCATGCGACTGGGACGCCACTGTTCTGATAGGGCTGCCAACTTCCAGGGGGTGCAAACCAAGGAGAGAGATCACGGGAAGGAAGTGGGAAAAGAAACAAACCACCGTGATATATTGTGCCACAAAAGTCTCCAAAAACTAGAAATTTCTTTTTCCAATATTCAGTTTACTGGATGTAATTCAAACGCCATCAACACCAACGGATCATGCGTATCACCTCGTTTCGTGTACAACTTTGTCAGAGTGAATAGCCTTGATATACAAGATTAATCCATTTAGCAAACTCACTGGTAGTATTTCACTGTTCCCTGGAAGGCCAGACAATGAAGCTGAAGCTCAAATACTTTGGCCCCCAAATGAGAAGGGAGCACTCGCTGGAGAAGAAGGCCCTGATGCTGGGAAAGATGGAAGGTCAAAGAAGACGGGGACGGCAAAGGATGAGAAGGTTAGACAGTGTCATCGAGGCAACGAACATGAAACTGAGCCAACTTCAGAGGACGGCGGAAGACAGGAGGGCCTGGCGGGATCTGGTCCATGGGGTCGCGAAGAGTCGGGCTCGACTGTGCGACTGAACAACAACAAGTATTTCCTAGTGACTCCTCAAAATCCATCAGTGTAATAATCATTATTACATGTTTGCATCCAGTAAACTGAATGTTGGAAAAAGAAATTTCTAGTTCTTGGAGACTTTTGTGGCATTATATATCACGGTTGTTTGTTTCCTTTTCCACAACCTCCAGGTGGTACCTGGAGACCTGGGTTGGCAACTGATCTCCGGATGACACAGATCAGTTCCCTGGGTGGGAAAGGCCGCTTTGGAAGGTGGACTCTGGGGCATCATACCCTGCTGAGGCCCCTCCCCTCCCCCAACCCCGCCTTCCTCAGGCCCCGCCTCCAAAATCTCCAGGTGTTTCCCAACCCAGAGCGCTTACATCCAATGCTCCCTCTAAGGTGTGAGGTCTTGTGAGCACAAATTGTGCTTTGTGAGCCACTGGCATTAAAGTTGTGAGCGAGCGATTGGGCTGCTGCATCAATGAGTTGGCTCTGGAGCCCCATCCTTCCTGCGCTGAGACAGAAACGTGTGAGCTGGAGGCTAAAAAACGGTGCGCTGGCTCACGCTAAGTCGGCTTAGAGGGAACACTGCTGACAACTCTCTCTGTACACGTCCCACGATTCTGTCAAGTTCCTTGATCAAGCTGCCTCCTGACTCCTGAGCCAGGTCCAGCCACTTAACCCCCCCCCCCGGTCCTTGGATAGCTCGGGCACAGACGATGGACTCCGCCTACCAGCTGTGGGTGGCGTCCCAAGTCTTCATCTGAAGGTGTCCTCCGGTAGTCCGTGTTGTTGCCCCCAACCGTGCAGACAGTGGTTTCCTGTCAGACAGAATGAGAGATGGGATTAGTTGGGATTGGGGAATTACATTAAAAACAAAAAAACCCCAAAATTTTGCTCCCTTCTTGGGGAGCTTGCAAGAAAACCCGAAAGAAAAAGCTTTTTCTGTGGAGTGACGGTCATCGATACGTTTAGCCTGGAGAGGTGATAGGGTAACCAGCTTCAAGTACTTGAAGGGCGGCCATCTATTTATTTATTTATTTAATTTCATTTATACCCCGCCCTCCCCGCACGCGGGCTCAGGGCGGCTTACAATATACGGGTGCAATGCAACACCATAGTTCCACAGTAAAGGCACACAGTGCAATAAAAACACAATAAAACATTTTAAAACAGTTAAATACAGTGGGCAACGCCCAAGGATCCCGCGTGACTGACCCCCTCTCCTGGCCTCTTTAGGGCCCGGGGTCACAAGACAATGTTGAGACCCCGACCGAAGTACTCTTTGGGACCTGTGTGGGGAAAGCCGGTCCCTCAGGTATGCCGGACCCTGGCCATCTAGAGGATGGTGCGGAGTCGTTTTCTGTCGCCCCAGGAGGTCGGGCCAGACCCAACGGGTGTCGGGTTCAACAGCACGCAAGTCTCCACATACTTCTCAGGGAAAAGTTATGCTTTATTAGAATACAAGTCTGTTGCCAGGTTATACAGGTACATTGTTAGGAATAACGGTTAGAGCAGATGTATCAATACATATACTCTGATGCGGTAGTTGGCTAAGCGAATTCTCCCAGCGGGACATTACGTCATGAATGGGAGACTCTCCTCGCTCCATGAGAGCAGAAATATTCACACCAGCGGTGGAATGCAAGCTCCCCCTCCTCCTCAAGGTTACAGAGAGAGCACCCTCTGGAAGAGCCAGTCTGCACGGTCTCTTGAGTGCCTCCCGATAGTTACTCGCAGCCGTTAAGCAAAGCAAGCAAGCAAGCATGCGCGCAGGCGCTACAGTCAGGGGTGAACGAAAACAATGAAAGCATGGCAGCGAGCTGACGTTGGGTTGAAATTAAGTCAGAAGAGTTTTCGGCTAAACATTAGGAAGAACTTCCCGACAGTGAGAGTGGTTCCTCAGTGGAAGAGGCTTCCTGGGGAGGCAGTGGCCTCTCCTGCTTGGGAGGTTTTGAAGCAGAGGCAAGATGGCCGTCTGACAGCAATGCGGATTCTGTGGACTTAGGCAGATCACGAGAAGGGAGGGCAGGAATTCTTGTGTCCCTGTCTTGTGTCCCTGTCTTACACGCCCAGGGAAATGCCGATCGCCACTCTGGGGTCAGGAAGCCATTTTTCTCCAGGCCAGTTTGACTAGAGATCCTGGAGGTTTTTTGTCATCTTTTGGGTATGGAACAGCGGTCACTGGGAGTGTTCGTGGGTTCCCTGCCTTGTGCAGAAGGTTGGACTAGATGACCCTGGAGGTCTCTTCCAACTCTATGATTCTATGATTCCCTTCAAGACCATTGAAGGACCTTTGGCCAGTCACACCCTCAGCCTGACCTACCTCACAGGGTTTTTGTGAGGATAAAATGGAGGGGAGGGGAGCCATGTGAACGGCTTTGGGTCCCGCTGGGGAGAAAGGAGGGGGGGTATAACTGAAATTCTGACACGGCAAGGCTGGGTCACTTGGATGGCCAGACCGGCCCTGGACCTCCACTGCGAGGCAGCCGGCGAAATATGCGCTGTGACTCTAATAGGCTGGCGGGTTCCAACAGCTTTCCCTCTAGCTGAGAAGGAAAATTATTTCGTGACCTGCAAGCAAGCCATCGTTAAATGCTAGCGGGAGAAAGCGGCTGGATTTCTTCCACTGGCTCTTCACTCTCTTCCACTTCCCCAGCCAACGGCATGCGGAAAGGAAAGGAGGGACTTTTGAGAGCCAAAGGAGGACCGTTAACAGAGGGGGTGTCGGCAGCAGGGGCTTTGCAGGTGGTAGGAAATCAAGAGATCATCCAGCTCCTGGGAAGGAGAGAATCGGCACCAGCCAAAGGTGCCGTTTGGGGATGCAGGCAGGGAAAGCAGGGAACTGAGCTCTTAAGCGATGCTCCCTCTAGGCTGTGGAGTCTTGTGAGCAAAAATTCTACTTTGTGAGCTGCTGGCATTAAAGTTGAGAGTGAGCGACTGGGCTACTGCATAGATTAGTCTGCTCTGGAGCCCCATCCTTCCTGAGCTGAGACAAAAATGTGTGAGCCGGAGGCTAAAAAACTGTGAGGTAGCTCACCCTAACTCAGCTTAGAGGGAACACTGCTCTTAAGCGCACGTCTTTTGCAGCACACGAAAGCCGATACCCAGAATTAGACTTTGTTGGTCTTCAAGGTGCCCAGTCTGGACCCAAACTTTGTCCTGCTGCTTCAGACCAACCGGGCTGCCCCACCTGAACCCGTCTTTGCCCCTTGGAAGGGTCAGATACCTCTTTTGGCTTCCCTGAGTTTTCCCCTTGTGGATTTTGGAAGTCTTGTGAACCTGTGTGTGTATTTATTCTTAAATGGTTGACCTGCCTTGCTACCTGTGTGTGTGTGTGTGTGTTTTCGTAGCCATTTTCTGGATCCACTGATGGGCAGCCTAGAAGTTACAAGGGATCTGTTCACACGTGACCTGTCCTCCACGTGGATTTTATACAGACGAGTTCTGGGAGCTTGGTGTGGTGGTTAAAGTGTCATACTGGTTACCAAGGGTCGTTTCGTAGAAAAAGAGCTAGGGGAACTCATTAGCATGACTCATTAGCATATGCCACACCCCCTGACATCGCTGGAAGTGTGTCATAAGGCCACACACCCCGCCCCCAATAGTTCCGGCCGCCGCCCTTGCAGCTCCACTGCCGAGCCCCATGAGGGGCCCGGCGGTGGAC